TCCCCCCCCCCACCCCGCGAGGGGGGGGGGGAGCGAACACCACCAGCGACGATAGCACCCCTCACTCCAGTCCAGCTGCCTCTGCCCCCAGCACCTCCCAGCTCTGCTCCCCTCTGCAGAAGACGCTGCACAGCAGAGAGCTGATCCCAGGGCACCCTGGCCCGTCCCTGCCTGGGTGTCCCTGTCCCCAGCCCTGGCCCGTCAGGGCTGGACGGATGCTGCTGCAACAGCAGGAGCTCAAGAGCAGCCAGCGGTGGAGGAGGGCAGGGCTGGATGGGGCTGAGCGTGGGCAGCTGGGCACTAAGGGACTGCAAGGGCAGAGGCAGGGGAGACAGATGCGATAGGCAGACTGGGGGGACAGGGGACATGGGGTGAGAAAAGGAGAGGGGTAGAGAGGGTGGGTCAGGACGCAGGTCCGTGGGAGCTAGATGGGGAATTTGCCCCATGGCACTGCTGGCCACAGATGTGTGACTCACTCCCCACCCAACTGTCTGCCCTAGATAGGGAAATCAGGCTGCAAGAGCCAGCACCCCCCCAGGAGCACCCCACCCAGCCAGCCAGGCTCCCAGGGCACGCCACAACGCCGGGCTGGCCCCCAGCCCCGCTCACTGCCCCCCCCCAGGCCTTACCTGACTTGACGGAGCAGTGGATGTGTGCCTTGGACTCGTAGTAGACCCAGTCGAAGCCAGCCTCCACAGCCAGGCGAGCCAGCATGCCGTACTTGTTGCGGTCCCGGTCCGAGGTCGTGATGTCCACGGCTCGACCCTCGTAATGCAGCGACTCCTCCGAGTGGTGCCCGTCCTCATCCCAGCCCTCCGTCACCCGCAGCTTCACCCCCGGCCACTGGTTCATGACGGAGATGGCCAGGGAGTTCAAGCGGTCCTTGCAGCGCTGCGGGGCAGAGGGGCAGAGTCAGTAAAAGCTTTTTGGAGGGGGGGGTTAGCTGCCTGGTTGGCAGGTTGTATCCCACCATGCTTTCACGAAGCCTCTCTGGGTCCCCAGAGCCTTTGGGGACTGATCCAGCAGTGGAAGATCCAAGAACATGAGGTGCCTTGTCCATCCTGTGCCCTCCAGACTCCATGCAGTGCCCGATACCCCCTTGTATGACACAGCATCTCCCAAGTGTGTGCACCCCAACAGGGTACCCATCTCTCCCTCCATCTCTCCCCCACTTCCCGGCTCATTGAAGAGCCTGTTGGGCAGCAGAGCCTTGGTCAGGGTAAAATGCCCTCCCTGCTCCCAGGACACCTCCCCTGCACTAGCACTGCCCCAGGGGGTTTTAGCTCACAGGAGGAGGGTGCGGGAGCTGAGACCCTGCTGCGTCCTGGCTGGGAGGATCTCCCAGAGTCCCCAGCACTGTCCCCAGGCACAAAAGAAACAACCTGCCCAGTCCTCAGCACAGCTCTGCTTGGTATCACTCCTCAAGTCCTGAGGCACAAGGACACAGCGCTGGGCAGCCTTGTAGCTTCATCCAGCCTCTGCTCATGTGGCAAATGCCAAACCCACCCAAAAGCCCTGTTGTGCTGGAGCAGAAGGGATGTGGGGTGAAGCCCCCTCCACCTCTCTCCTCAAGTCCTGAGGCACAAGGACACAGCGCTGGGCAGCCTTGTAGCTTCATCCAGCCTCTGCTCATGTGGCAAATGCCAAACCCACCCAAAAGCCCTGTTGTGCTGGAGCAGAAGGGATGGGGTGAAGAGCCCCCTCCACCTCTCCCTGCCACAAAGGCTGAAAAGCCAGGTCTGAGGAACAGCAGCAGATCCCAAAAGCCCCAGACCTGGTGGCCACAGAGGTCACACAAGCAAGGCAACTGCCCTGCCTCATTCCCCCCATGCTGCGGTCCTCCCCAGCAAGCAGAGGGATGCCAGCCCTGAACGCCTTCACTGCAGCCCTCCCAGCCTCGGCCTGCGCTGCCCGCTTCCCCCAGCCACAGCTGCATCTCAGCGAGGGACCGAGCCCCTGTGCACTTGGCTTGCAGAAGTACAGCCCACACTTGTGGTCCCTTCCCCTGCTGCAAAAAGGATGGAGAAGAGCTAGAGAAGGTGTGGGAAAAGCAATACGGGAGCTTCTACACAAAACCAGGTGAATGGACTGTGAATGTGCAGCCTGGAAAGGAGATGCTGGGGGTCCCAGGGAGCATTATAAAATCAGAGTGAAGGACAGACCATTCAGGCCAGTCCTGGGAGGCATTAAAAGAAACGACTGGGCAGCAGCCTAAAAACCAGCCACCACGGGGGACGTTTTTGCGTGATGCCCAGCTCAGCGCTGGAACTCCCCACCACGGGATGTCATGGGTTGTGAGACACAGTCACGGTGAGCATGAGCCAGGGCTATAAAACCTGACGCTGGCTACACCTCTGGGCTCAGAAATGCCCCAGCACTGGTTCTGCAGCGAGCTGCCCCCCAAAAATGTGGGCCCTCACCCTATCCCCAAGTACCTGCTCCCGTCCAGGGGAGATGGGCGCTGCTGCTCTCGGTGAAACCCGCTCATGCTTGGCAGGGTCCGGGCCCTGGGAAGGGCAGTGCCAGGCAGGCCTTTGCCCCTCATGGGGCGGGGGAGCACCTCTGCCCTCGTCCCACGGCTCCCTGGGTGTGGGGAGATAAGCCAGGAAGGTGTTGGACAAACAGTTGCCAGGTAAGGGGAGGAGGAGGAGGGAGGGGAGCGACTTTTGTCCCCGTCCAACACAACCATGGTGCCACTTGGCACATGGCACAAGCAGCTCCCAAGGTCCCTGGCCCCACGGGGACCTCGCAGAGAAGGGCAGCAAGGCGGTTCGGGGCTGGAGGCAGGCAGGGGGCCCTCAATGCCTCCCTGCATCCTCCCGGCCATCACTCCAGGCGTCCCCTTGCCACTGCCACACCAGCACTCTGCTCTGGGCACCCCTCCTGCCCTCACTGACAGCCCTTCTGTCCCCCGGGGGCACCCTGCCCGCACACAAACACCGAGACCCTCCAACCCCTGTCCCCTCACCGGGGACACCGCCTGCCACCAGCCCCTGGGGCAGGGCCACCCTTTCCTAGCGGGACCCACCTGGGCTGCCTTGTCCCCTGCATGTGCCTCTGCCAGGGCAGCCCCAGCCCAAGGGTCCCACCTTCCCCTCCCTGCCCGGGGCAGCGCCCAGCTGCCTGCCTGTCCGCCCGGCTGGGCACACAGCGGCAGGCAGGGCCCCAGAGCACCCTGCCCCCGGGCTGCCGAGACGGGCGGCTCTGCCTGTGCCTTTGGTGGCCAGCAGGTGTCAGAGCACGGGCAGGGAGCGGGCAGGGACCGGCAGGGAGCAGGTACCGACGGGCAGGGTGCAGGCAGCGACGGGCAGGTAGCAGGTACCAATGGACAGGGAGCAGGCAGGGACAGGCAGGGAGGGTCGGGGAGGGAGCAGGTGCTAACGGGTGGGGAGCAGACACGGGCGGGCAGGGCAGCAGCGGGCAAGGAGCAGGCATGGATGGGCAAGGAACAGGCAACTATGAGGAGGGAGCAGGCAGGGATGAGCAAAGATAAGCAGGGAGGAGGCAGTGATAGCAAGGGCAAGCAGGTGGGGATGGGAGGGAGCAGGCACAGGAGGCAGGGAGGAGACAACAACGGGCAGGGATGGCCAGGGATGAGCAAGGAGCAGACAGCAATGGGCAGGGGGCAGGCATGGGTAGCAGGGAGCAGGCACAGATGGGCAGGGACGGTAGGGCACTGCCTGCCCAGGGGCTCTGCTGCCTGCACAGACAGGTAGGGAGGGACCAAGAAACCCTTGGGCATGGGCTGTCCGCAGGCTCTGTGCTTGCTGGGGGGCTGCAGGGAGAGCCCACCTCCTCCCCACACACAGCCCAGAGGGGCTACAGCATCCTCGGGGACCAGGGTGACCATGCCTTCCTGCGTGGCATGGTCCCCCTCCTGCCTGGGGTGAACACAAGGTCTCGCAAGGTGATGGCAAGGATGTGGAAATGCCACTGTGGCCCACGGGCCCTGCGGGGCCCAGGCTGGAGTGGGATGTTCAAGCTCAGCCATGTGGCATGGAGTCCTGGCCACGGCTCACCAGCCCCAGCGCTGTTCTGGTGCCCAGCAGGGAGGCTGAAACCCATGCAAGAGGCATATAGCAGGGTTTGGGGGGAGGGCGGGTGGTGACAGTGTGTGACGGGGAGCACAGCTTGTCCCTGTAGTGGTGCAGGTGACTGGGCATCCCCAGGCCAGATACAGGATGGGGCCCTGTGCCACCACGCTGAGCTGGGTGGCTCTGTGCTGTCCCATGCACATCACAGTGGAGACCCTGGGGATGTTGGGCTGGGCTGAGCAGAGATGTTCTCCCCGCTGACCAACATTGGCATCTCCCTTCTTGTCTCCAGACTGGGGACAGAACCATGTCCTGTGGGGGAAGCCAAACCCCTTTAGGGGAGGCAGCAGGTCTGGAAGGAAGGGCACAGCTCCAAGACGGGGCACAGTCAGCAGAGACCCCAGGGCCATCTCAGGGAAGGTACGCGGGATGCTCAGGTGTGACCACAATCTCAGCAGCGAGGTTGTGGATGGAGTGTGCTTGGCCACAGCTACCCCCATATCCAGAGCCTCACCAGGAGAAGAGGGGTCCCACTAGCATCTCCCCCCCCAAGGTGAGGTTTCTTCCAAAGGAAGCCAAGACTCCTATCCCAAGGTCTCCATGAGAAATTCCTCACCACTGCAAGGATGGTCTCCATGCCAGTTGGGCCAACAGTGGCTGCAAGGGGTGATGGCTGGGGTAGGGAGAGGCTTGGGGTTGGGACTCCATGGGGGCAGGGGGCCCGGGACATTCCTGGGCCAGGCTGCCGGGGAGAGGTGAGGCGGGCTCTGCCTCCAGCCTTATCTCAGCACCTCCGAGTGGGACCAGCGAGAGCAAACACACTGGAATTCTTGAGGAAGATGAAACGATAAAGGGAAGGCGGGCAGAGAGCAGCACTACCCACCCCCCCAAGCAGGCGGCATCTTCCGGCTGCCTGGGACACCCAGACCCTTGGACTTGGGGAAAGAAAACAGGTTTGAAGTGAGTCAACAGCAGTAAAAGCCAGCGCACTGGGGGAAGGGACAAGGAGTTGGGCCAATGGCCTTTCCCAACCCATAGCAACACAGGGCATGGTGCCAGCGCCAGAGCTCCTACGTCTGGGGACATCTCCCACAGCCAGGGGCCACAGGACAAGCCCAGAGGGCTGTGGGATGGCAGCAAGCTACCAGAAGTCATGCCACCTCCATAGCAGTGGGGACAATTCCCTGCAGAGCTGCCCAGGGCACCATGGTATCCATCTGTGCATGGACATGCAGTGGCCAGGGATCCTGCTGGGCTAAGAGCCCTCATTTGGGCATGCCAAGAAGACCAGGGAGCTTCCAGGTACCCTGCTAACAATGCAGCAGGACAGCGGGAAGTGTGGGGCTGACAGGTGGGACACAGAGTCCTCCCTCTCCCGGGGTGCCGGGGGGCACTGGCTGGGTTAGGGAAGCCAGTGGGACCACTGTCAAGAGCAAACACAGCCAGAAGCACTCTCTTGCCTCCAACTCAAGCAATACGATGTTACCCGCTTCCCCGATGCATGGACCAGTGGAGCTCACCACTTCCTCAGTATCCCTGAGGCTGTTCCCCAGGGGATGTAGGCTCCAGCCCAGCCCCAGGGCTCCAGTGACAAGCAGTCATGACTTGTGCAACTCCCCAAGCTTGGTGCTGCCTCACAGCGGGTCTCGGTCCCTCTGCTGCAGTCCCCAGCCTGAGAAACACCCTGGACCATGGCCTTTGCCCTCAGGGACCTGCCCCCGGGGCACATGGGGTTGCAGAGCCGTCAAGCCAGCACCCAAGCCACTTCTCCTCCCGTTGTTACCAACACCTCGTCCAGAGACCATGGCCAGAGCCCCGCTCAGCGCCTGCCACCACGGCCATCCACACTCACCCACC